TTCGTATCACAGATACAGCTGAAAAGCATAATAACAACCGTTCTTTCACTAAAAATTAAATCTGGTACAGCATGCATAGCAAATAAAGTGGCCTTGGATGCTTTCTCGCAGGAGGTTTTTCCTTAAGCGTGCATTTGTCTAAAGAAATGAGGCTGCGGTCAGCTTTGTGTGGCCAGCGCTGTGATTCAATGTGACGTACAGTGAGTCTGTGCATATTCTTTTGGACTGCCTTCGTTACTATAATCAGGCAGAGTCAAATCGGCTTGTTGGTGACGAAGCCAGAAAAGAACTCTGGTTCCAGAATATGGCCTCTACTGCGGATAGCCACAAGGCACCTGACACGATAGATTTCAAATGGCAGCACTCTGGCAACAAAACTTTACATGGTACAAAGAAAAGGTCCAGGCTCTACTCCTATGTTGTCTTCAACCTTAGCTTATAACACCATTTTAGTCTATAATCTGAAAATGGTAGCTGACATATGTAGCAACACCATTCACCCAAGAAATCCAATAAGGAGAAAAATAAGAAGAGCAAAATAATTATAGGACTGCTGCTGTGAAGTAGCAGGTTCACATTTAACAACATGAGCAACACGGTCACATCCTATTGGCTGACATTCTCCCAGGAAACATGGCAGTCTGTGCCCATTGCAGTATCACAAATGACAATTGGGCAAGCATATCTTATGCAGAAGTTAATCACAATAATGGAGCACAAAGTGTAGCTTAGCGGTCAGATCATAAGTGACAAATCTGTTTTACCTTCCAGTACCAGTTATGAGTGGAAGGCGAGCTTGGCTCTAGCTCTGAGCGATCATGCCGATAATCATTAGATGACAAAAGTAATGAGTCACATTATGATCAACAAAGGAGAATGGAGCTTATATGGGTTTGCAGGCTAACATTAAAAAAATAGCCACTCAGCTTTCTACAAACACTGTGTGAAGGCTGGAGCTATACATTGAGGAGAATGACAACTGCACAATAAAACTGCAGCCTCTACTTGCAGTTGTCATAGTTCAGCAGACACCAGCCATTGCTACTGACAGACCAGCTGGGTAGCTTGGGAGGCCTTCCATTCTGCACCATGAGGTACAGTAAATTATCCAGCACGGTAGAGCAACATCTGTTTCTGTGCTAGTGCCGAACAAACAAGGCAATTTAAAGCATACCAAGGGATAACCAAGCAGCAAATGAACATGACCCTCATTTTTTCCCCTTTCTTACACACACGAGATGCTGAACTTCATTGTACGAGCACTACATAAAGGAGAAGCCAGGCTGTTATTTGATAAGGTGTTAGAGGGATTTTACGTATTTTCTATACAGAGAGAGAGAGATCTCATAGTATTGTTATTCTTAGAATCCTCCCACTTCTGTCTTCATTTCTCTTATACCAAAGCTAGCACTCAGCTTTCAATTCATTCTAGATTTTTTTTAAAACTGTTTCAATATACTTATAAATATTCAGTCTTTAAACCTAATTTGCTATACTTAGTTCACATGCCTTCAAGCATTTGTCTTCCAATTTCCACTGAATAAATGCGTACTAATGAGAAATAGAGCAAGCTGCTGAGGCAAAGCTGGGTGACTTGAGCCTGGCCTGCCACCAGCTTGTGATAGGCAGGCAAATTGAGTTAAAATGAAAAGTCTTGTCAGCTGAAATACAACATGGTAGCCAAACAGCAAGCTGTCAATCATCCAGCCAAAACAAGGGACTGCAGGTAATAAAAGGTCATTGTGAATGATTAGTGCATTTGGCTTTCATATGCAAGTTAATTTTAATTAAACATGATCTCTATCTGTAAATGTTTTATAAAACTTATTGTGCATAAAGGACTGTTAATTTTATACTAACATTTAACTGGTAAGAGGTCCCTATAATTATTAAAGTGTATTGTAGAAAAATAGCTATTGAAAATGCAAATATTTTTGGTGATAATTTACTCTATGTACCACCATGTGCCAGCACAAACAATATCTGAAACAAGCAGATTTGTGGCTTACTAAGATCTGAGCAGTAGTGACCAGCACATATGAAGCAATAATTTTATTTTTTCCATTCAAACCTACATTTTTGTTTGTGTTTATCACCAACACTATGGCCTTTTTTCTTGTACTATGTTACTTTTAGGTTTTCTACCTTGTCATGCAGTTTTTTTTTTAACAGTGTTTCTTTAGAAGCAAATATCTGGAATTCAGTGATGCCCTGAGGCAAGAATGCTTCACAATATGAATGAATACAAACATTATAAAATGTACTAAATAAGGAGGGTTTGAATTAAATGTGTGTTAAATGCATTTTTGCTTTACCCTTTGCATTTCAGTTATAGCCATAAAAACTGACAGACCATTCTCGTGTATCGTTTACTATCTTAAAGCTCCATTGCGAGTCATAATGACTAATAATGTATGTTACTGTGCTCATGCAAATAAGCACATACTGGATCCTGGAGAAGTCTTAGGTAGACAAAAAGGGATAATGTGATGTTCCAGAAATCTCTGGAAAAAAAATAAATCCGGCCGGCCCATCATATGGTAACATTACCCAGTTTTTAATTGGCCAGGACACTTAAACTTACAATTCAGAAGCAATACTGTTCCACAGACTAGGCTATTTTGACCATAAATATGTTGTTGTTTTTGGGACAAGTTGCAGTAATTCTTGTTCTCCAAACTTTAAGAAAACAAAGTAGGCTTTCTTGCAGTTTTGGTATTTGAGGAACCAGAACATTTAAAATGGGAACATCATAATTCCAAAATGCCATTATAAACCCTCCTGGTCTGTCTTACTCATTTGGAACAGAGAGACAAATTCCCGTCTCTGGCTTACATATGAGATGGAAAAGCTCCGATGTTCTCAGGTAGTCTGATTAAAGTATTCTAAGTCTACAGAACAAGTTTTATCCTGTGCTTCTTTTGTATACAATTTGGCTATAAAAGTCAAACTCCTCCCATACATATTAGCCTAGTGTCCCTTTCATTAAAACGGGAATTTAATACACATAGTTGTAGTGGATATTTTTCCCTGCTATAATTTGGTGGAATTATAACTAAAGTGCTAAAGAACTGAAATCTAGCTTCTGTTCATATCTCATTCAGTTGAATGTGATAATAAAAATTAACAAAAATGTTGTGCGGATAGGGTCAGGTGCTTTCCTCACAACATGTGAATCAAACATTACTCAAGGACTTTAAAATTTCAAGGAACATTAGTTTGGATGATATATTTAATGTTTTAAACTGTTCACATCACTCCATTTTGCACCAGATGGTTTTGGTGAGGTACTCACATTTGTTTGATTCTTAATGGCACTGGACGCAAATCATGAAATAGCAACTTCACAAAACCCCAATGTTACTAAATACTGTATAATTTTTAAAAGGCTAAGCAAAATGCAATATGGATATACATTTTAAACTCAAGAAAAGGATACCAGGTTCAACATGATTATCATTCCATTTTCCTTTATCTTCTCTTACTAGTTATTTTTTTGCAGCATACCACCCAGTCTTCCCCTCCAAATAAACTAGCCATGCTCCCATTCATGCTTCTAACTTCTTTGTCTAGTAACTTTTTCTATTTGCCTGCTAATCTTGGTGTGATGCATTACATCACTGGACAGTCAAATATTTTGTGGCTATTGACTTAGAATAATCCTGCCCACCTTTTGTACATCAAAATGGTTTCTCCCCATTCCATAATTCTTCAACCCAAGCATCCAGTGACTCTGGAACCACATTCTAGGCCCATCTTTGTATTATAGCTGCCTTAGATCTGTGCCCAAAGTTGAGAATACAAGTGCAGTTTTATTTTTGTTCTATAATAATCAGCTCAGACTTTAAAAACATGAATATGATGCTTGTGATATATGGCATATACTGATGGTCCTGGAAAACAAAGGTCTTTCTTTGCATACAAAACAAGCAAATCATGGGCATCCACAATGTGCATTTTCCCCAAACTACCCTGCCAATGAAATCCAATATTAGCTTTTCAGAAGAGTGGAAAGGCAATTTAGGCTCTGATCTAGTAAAGCTTTTATGCACATGCTCAGTTTTAAGCAGAAAAGCAGCTCCATTAACTTCAATGGAATCTCAGTCTCTACAGTCTTATTCAGTTGTTGTCCATTCTGTGGATTCTGCCAACCCGTGTCAATGGAGATTTGTATTTCTAGAGAGGGGGGTAGATATTTCTTAGATGCATGAATTAGATGTCTTAACTACCATCTGTGCCTCTGGAAATCTCCCCTCTTAGGATTTGTGATGCAGTTACTTGTGTTCTAGGACATGAATACCAAGCATCAAATGATATTAGGAAAGGCCAGTCCAGCTACTGGAAATAAAACTCCGTCTCTACTAACTTGTGTCACATTTGAGTCAGTGAGATAGAAGTGAAAGATATTGTCATCTCTTACTTATCTGCCAGAAGTCTCATAAGCATAAATGAAGCCTTGAAATGCTAAGACAAAGAAAAACTGGTGCCTGTTTGTAAAGCACTGCCCATTGAATGTAGTTAGCTGTCACATACCTGTGTCTGATTTAAAAACAGCTCCCGTTGTAAAGTCTAAAAGACTAAAATTATTTTTGGAAATTAACAAATTACGCTTGGTGCACACACTGATTTTCCTGCCAGCTTGCATTTTGGAAAAGGGTCTTCCTTTGTAATTCGGTACAGAAGTATTTGAAATGCATTAACACTTAGGCAGATGCTCAGAATCAAACAACTTAATAGGCATAAACTTTTTTTCAAATAATTGCAAAGCTTCGATTTAGCCTTTTGCATACCTTGCATAGTTAATTACCTGGGCTCTAATGTTTACATGCAATGAGTGTATCTACAGCTATAAACTACATAATTTATAATTGATGTAAATGGGTGTTATTATGTCAATTAAGCAGCTGTGTCCTCCACCTTCTCAGTAAACAGAAATGAGTGATAAACTGAGTTTGCAGAGAGATACCCTCTTTTCTTCATAAGAGATAAAAATAAATTACCTAGGTAGACCAGGTTGTCCAATTGTTCTCTGGTGAGGTGGATGTTATATCCAGGCCCTTTCTTTTGACCTGTTGACTGCAGCAAATGGTCAATTTCGTCACGCACCACTGCAAGAGCTTCTGGGTGCCGCAGAAGATAATACATGGCCCAGAATGTAGCTGGAATTGTGTTTGCCACAGAGGCCCACAAGAAGGTAAAATGATGTGCTGGGAGAAAATAAGTGAAAAGGAAGATTAATAGCGTTTATTACACTGATTAGATTTGCAGTGTGCTAATTAAAAGATGTTAGGACACAGACCCAGCCAAGGATCAGTGAATGCTAATGAGGACCAATAGGCTTCTGAAGTCTAATTTTCTGCTTAATGAGAAGAGTTTGAAATGTAATGTGGGGGGGGGGAGTAAATGCAGCTCAGTTATAATCTTTCTCATTATCACCATTAAGTATCTTGTTTTACCACCTCAGCAAAAAAAAAATCAATTATCATAGAGGGTTGTTTCAGAGTAAAACATTTTATCATTAGCCAATTAGAAAGAACATAAAAAAAAATTCAAGGTCGCCATTTTGCCTTTTTATTTCAAAGGTCTATAGTAAATTATTTTATTTCAGACAAGCCATCTTTCATAAGTTTCCTACCTGCTTTGTCATAAACTGTGAGCAGCTCATATTTCTCAAATAGATCTTTTCTGGCTTGGATCACTTCAGACCCTCCCAGCCATTTTGTCATATTCTGATATGAAAAATGATGTATAAGCTCCTTCCGAACCTTCTTGGTAGCTCCTAGCAACTCAACTGGTATGCCTAAAGCTAAATAGGGAAAGTTGGCATCAAACTTTGTAAATTTGTCTCTGATTTCACTAATAACTTTGTGGCCATCTGCAGCAGGAACTCTTCCATATAGTGTTATAAAACTGGCTTCAAACATTACAGAGCAGCAGAACTTGTACATTTTTTCTGCTTCCCAATCTGTTGCTTGCGAGCATTTCCTTTCAAATATTTGTTGGAGATTTTTCATCATGTCTTCTGAAAGTGTGTCCAAAGACTTCCCTTGTAGGTATTGGTACATTCTATGCAGGTTTTCATTCAGTTCTGGGAATTTTGTACTCAATATAGATGGGACGTCAAAAGTTCTGGATATCATTTTATCTGCAAATTCTTGAAATCCAAGTTGCTTGCTATTTCGGATAATATAAACAAATTGGAATGGGTCCATGAAAAAGGTATAGTATCTACCTGGAGAGAAGAGATAAAACCCCCCCCAAGTATGTTTTTTAACACTTTTGAAAAACAGTCACTAAAAAAATCAAATTCAACATTAACTTCAGAGAATATTTCTTTTCCCTAAGGCTTGAATTTAACTTCAGAGAATATTTCTTTTCCCTAAGTCACATTGCAAGCCCTTAAAATTATTTGTAAAAGAAAAAAGGGAGAAATTACAATATGTATTTAGTTAGAAAAAATCAGTAATTAATTTTTGTGGAGGATGAAGATTTCACCTGCATGTGTTTTTATTGTACTCCTAAAGCCAGAACAGGGCTGTTCAAGTGCAGACTGATCTATTACTTTGACAAAAATGAAGGGTGATATATACATATAAATAGGGCACTCTGGAATCATAAGAAACATTTACTAAACTGGTTTAACTTAGGAAAATGCAATATGGCTTAACATAATACTTTTAAAACTATACATCTCTTAAGGGCAAAAAGGAACAAGTAAATCATTCTATATAAATGGAGAATACTTTCAGAAAGACTGCAGTGGGGAATATGCTCACTTATCAGCCAAAGAAACCAAAGGGCCCAAGTGATTAGTTCTAAAAATGAAAGCTTTTGTTCTGCAATGAGTTCTGCATACATTCCCAGATCACCCTGAAGTCCTTGGGGTTTACATAGGAACAGAGGCCACGTGTCTTGAGTCTCATCCTAGGAGCAAAACCTCAGATGTTTTCCATAACTCAAAGAAAAAACATGGTACCTAAAATACCTTTTAATTATATTGTGTTCTTCTATACTGCCTTTTCATATAACAGGCTGAAGCAGCTTTATTATAATATCAATACATTTCCCATGTGGTTTATTTAAAAAAATATATCTTGAAGGGCAATGTGGTATCATGTTAAAACAAAGGGGTATCTCCACATGTGTGCCAGATGTGTGGTCCCTGGGACAGTGCTGACTTTTGCTGTGCTAACTATTGTGGTGCCATCAGCCACTGTTGCAGCAGCAGCTGTTTTTGTTCCCCCCAAGGGGCTGGGGGGGAGCAGGAGAAGGGTAGTCAGGCAGAGGGTGCCATACATATGTGCACGTTCACCCATGCACAAGGCTGTCAGGCATCTTGGAGAGCAGCTCCCATAGGTAAGTCTGATGGTGGGGGGAGGGAGGAAGGGAGGGAATTGGGTAGGGCTGGGACTGGGGCTGCTGCCCAGCTGGGATGCATGGGGCTTGGGGCCCACAGTTGGAATGATGGCCACCTAAATCAGAAAAAAGGTAATGTTTGCAACTAGTCAGAGTTTCCTATCAGCTAACTTCCCATCAGCATATGGGTTTTTGTGGGTTGCCCCAATATTCCTACGCACAGGTGATGGGGGGTGGAGAGCACGAGGGAGTGTGGTGATGTGATCGTATCTGACTTCAATTCCTCCTCCCCTCTTGCCATCTACCCATAGGAGCTGAGGGTCTGATTTTGCCAGAGCCATGCCTGCTGTGTACTGCCAGGCTCTGAGGCCAAGGGCCCAATCCTGACTGCCCTCTCCCCTCTTTCCAAAATCCTACTTTGGTTGTTGTCCCAATGCACTGTATAGGGAGCCTAGTCATTTAACTGCTTTCTTTGGATCAACCTCCTTGTGTCTGAAACTCAACTGTTATGTACACCTGAGCCTAAGTTGGATGCACAAGATGCCTTTCTAGATTTCAGCATACCCTCCTTCTTTACATACTTAACTGAAGGAGACAATATTGAACCACTGATAATAATACTGGAAAAAAACAGATACCTAGCAGTGTTATTTTTGCATTATTGTGTTATATGTTTTTAAGATAAGTTTGCTAACATCTTAACCTCTAAAGTTTTTATTAGCTACTAAAGGTGTGCAAAACAGGCTGTATTCAATTCGGATTTGGATTCAGCCCAGATCGGGGACAGTGATTTGATTTATTGATTCTGATCACTGTCCTGATTTGATTCAGCTGAATCCAAAGCTGAAGATTCAATGCTGATTCAGAGAATCAGGGATTTGGCCATTGACATAGCTTGAAATGATTTTTTTACATACCTTGAGGTACCAGGTACAGCTCATGAATGCTGCGATGCTGGGGTGGATGGAGTGTCTCACAGGAGGGCAGGGCTCATCCCCCACCCCCCTGCGTGCTCAGTGGCAAACCCAGAAGTGGACCTGAAGTACTTCGGGTCCACTTCCGGGTCCACCGCCAAGCATGCAGGGGGAACCCCATGCCCCTCCTGACATAGTGATCGTCCATGGGGGGGCCCCAGGTGCCCCCCCCAGACCCAGGAGGCATCAGTTGCTGAGCCGGCAGGGGGGCGCATGTGGCCCTCAGTGTGCTCCTGGAAGTGCTTCTGGTCCACTTCTGGGTCTGCTGCTGAGCATGCTCAGGACCCCCCCGCGCTCCTGTGGGATGCTCCATCACCCCCACAACTCAGCATTCATGAGCCGCCTGGTACCTTGAGATATGTAGAATAAACATTTAAAGCTATGTCTATGGCTAAATCTTCAAATCTTTCCAAATTTCTCTGAATTGATTCAGAGGATTCTGACTCAATTCAAAGAAGTTAAAGGGTCTCCTGATTGGATTCGGAATCGGAGATTCGGCCACTGAATCAAGCCGAATTTTGGCTGAATTGAATCAGTGACTGATGCGTTGCACAGCCCTATTAGCTGCCAGTGAAGAAAATATGTGGGTAAATGGCTAATCATTCATTGGTGAGCTAAGAAGTCATTAACAGTATAGGTTTCTAATTCATAAATTGTGGGGGCACTCATTAGGAAAAAAATAGTACCATTAAAATGTAAAATATTCTAACTATAAAACAAGAACAAAGGAACAAAGCTTGCAGCAGCTGAGGCCTAATTCTGCCCTGTTTAATGCTTGGAACATCCTTCAACAGACATAATTTGGCCCTCTGACTGATGCTCTGAGCCCTGTGCTAAAGGTGTTAACAAGTATTATTAGTTACCACATACTGATAGCTGAGAGAGCATAATTATTTCCCATTATGACAGTAAATACATATATCTCTGCACAGTAAACATGGATACATGGACCACTTTTATTGGCCCCAATAATTATAACTGGCATATTTTTCCCTGATTACATCCAATGCAATCCCACTGAAAAGAATGAGGTTGCACAAGGCATACATCAATACAGAATTTGTTCCAATGTCTTTCTCAATGGTATCTTGAGTGTTTCAAGGTACTTCTAGTATGCTTTAATGTAAAATAATTTAGAGGAGGAGTTGAACCCAGGTATTCTTATTCCCAGTTATTATTCTGACTGCTAGAATGAGGTCTGCCTTGTAGAGTGCAGCACATAAAATGCATTTTCAGTGCCTGTCTCTTCAAAATCCTTCCACATCTATGTTAAAGACCTAGAAGTGATGCCCCTTTGCACTCTATCCACTCCATCCTCAAGGTACTTTATCACAAGGTTCTCATCCTTGTGATGAAAGGCTGGAAATAAAGCCCTTTGGAGTGATTTTTAATAAGTAGATTTGGAATGCTATTAACCCTGAAGATGTTAACTGGCTTTCCAACTTTGAGTTTACAGGGTAAACAATTTAAGTTAAGATTTTTTAATTAATATTAATTTAAACCATCTGTCCACCATCTGCTTATTTCAGATGCAAAATATGAGTTTCTTTGTGATCTTTAATCAGACATTTAGCAAAACACTTATCAATTCCTATATTTTTAAATAAGCAAAATGGTTTTAAGCAAATGATTCCTTCAGCAAACAAAACTATTTTAATAAATAGTCTTATATCAGTACTCACTGTTAGCATAATTGCAAAGTTCTGAAAGAAAATGATTAGTTTAGAATTTTCTTTGACAGTGTCACAGATCATCAACTCTGTTAGTCTTATATGTTTCCAATTGATTTAAAAAAATGTCCAGATAAAAAATAAATGTCAAGAGAAAATTTATTTTGCAAACTCAAATTCAGTTTCCAAACTACATCATAGGCAAGTCAACAATTTATAGAAACACATTAAATAAAGTGTCTCAGTTGCTCTGTTTTTGCAGTTTTAACAAGGAAGGATTAACCTGTAAATAGGGAAAGCAAAGTATGCTGGTTTGTGAAAATTGTGCATATTATTTAAGTACTTCCAACAGAGAACACGAAACCAACTATAGAACCCAAGTACTCTAATATTTTAGATCTCTTTCCTTAGCAAAAACTGAAATCTAGCATCGCTAGCTGCAGTTACAAATGACTGAAGTGTGACTTGTTAGTGGATCTTTCAGTGATTTCAGTCCTACTTGTACATTGAACTACATGGCTACACAAGTTTACCAAAGTGTTGTGTACTGTAACATATTGTCAATTATGATTTTGCATTACATGGTGAAATCATGTCACAATATTTCCTCTACCAACATGTAAGCCTCAGTAGTCTTACAATCTAAAAGCAATCACATAGAAAAAAAATCCTTTGATTTCAATTATGTTTTGTAAACAGAGGGATCATACTTAAGTGTTTCCTTTAAGTAATTTCATTCCCTCTGTTCAGCTCACTTCTATAGACCACTGTGTACTGGTGGAAACAAGCACTGACATATGCAGGCCTTTCCTATGTTTTTCAAGTTGTTATTTAACATCTTAAGTATGTGTAATTCCAAAAATGCTGTCTCACTTTAGTTATCCTTAGGTATTCAGGATCCTTAGGTATTCAGGTGTCTTTAAAGGAACAGTTCAAAACCTTGGGACTCACTGGAACATTTATTTGATTAGCTTGAGAAGCTAATTGCCAAATCTGGCAAAAAGTACAACATATGCTATAAGCTCTCTAGATCAGCAAGTTTTTAAGATTAGAATAATTTACATAAAAAGTTGCTATTCTGGGACAGTTTAATGAAATCCTTAGTTCTTCAGCAATGTTGGTGGACACTACAATTCCTTTTTCAGAAACATTTGAAAAGACATGAGCAGAGAGTAAAAGCATGCTAAATCTCCCTATAGTCTAAGAAGACAAGTCAACTGTTCTGTTGAATAGCATAGAAACTAATCAAAATAGCTAAATTTTTCTTTATTCCTACAAAAAATTTTCAGATTGATTTAGTTTTTTACATATCTATGTATGGACAAAACTGTACTACTTTTTTCATTCTTTCAGCTTTTATTCTAGCCACTGCTGCAAATGTCTATGATATCACCATGGCTAATACAATCTTCTCTAAATAAAAGATTGCTGTAAAAGATATGAAAATTACCAGTGGTTGGTGAATATTGAAGTCAATATTTGTATGATGGTAAGAAATATCTCTAATAATGTACTCTAGTTGTTTTAATGATAATTACAACAGGCAAGAACTTCATGTGATATATCATGAATGTATGTTATTACAATAATATTTGCAGTGGGCCGTAATGTCAAAAGGAGCTGAATTAAATTACTTTTTAGTTGAAAAAAGGGAGTTTTAGTGGCATTTATGTAGAGCATTACTTTTAAAAAAAAAGTTTACTATGAGTGCTTTATAAAGACTACATGTGCTTAGCATAAAGTCTGTAAGATGCAGACAATTTTTTTAAAAAAGAGCTAGAATAGTCATAAACATTCTGCTACAGTACCCAGTATCATTTCTAATAATGTATTGGAAAAGGTATACCATGTCTTATGAGAAACAGTGACAAAGACTTTCCAAGGTTCTTAAAGTTTTTACCTAGCTGTCTAGCTGTTCTTTATCCTTATCTAGTGAAAAGGTTGGGTTTGGAAGCACTATAATATAGAAACAACTCTCCCTCACTCTTTTTTTTTTTTAAGACTATCGCATTTACGTAATCGTCCTCTTATTAGGAAGATTTTGCTGAACTGTTGACAATGATGTACAGTAGTGCTTCGCTGGTATGACGTTTGGGGAAAACGATTCTGCTGCACCACCACACAAAACCAATTAGAGAACTATTTTCTGCGACAGGTCAGGAATTTACATTGTTTCTCATAGAAAGATGTGCTTTTTAATTTCTTTATTAAGATGACATCCATGTCCCTTGAGACTTTTCGGTATGACAATCATTTGCTCATCACATGGGAAAGTACAATCAGCGAAATCGCATTACCGGTACGGGGCAATGCCAGAAACTCCAAGCATCGTTCCACATTTTCCAAATGAACTAGTTTTAGAACCAATAATTAGAACAATATATATTGATAGAATTTTTTGACAGGACCTTTAGTCACACACCAGGGGGAGAGAGTAATGATAGCATGTATACAACAGGGGATGTTCTGTTTGCTGCACATACACACATCATCTTTGTCAAATCACTAAGATATCATGGAATTCTGTGCATATCTTGGTATCTGAAACATGAGGTACCAACTAAGCTTTTTTAAGCCGAGGATGTGCTACTCTTTCTCCTTACTGAACTCTCTGTATTTAATGGTCTTGATACTGCATTACAAAAGGTAAGGTTACCATAATAGCATGGGTATGACATCAATTCACAAAACCTAGGATTTCCCAGAGTAAGAATGAAATAATGTTCATAACCCATTACTTCGCTATTTTAAGATCATACTGGATTAATCACTGAAGGCTTACTTAAATACACTGGAATGAAAAGATAAGCAACATTTTATCTTTGATCCATCACATTGAAATAGGATTTGTTAATTTAAATCACATTCACAGATTACTTTAATAAGAAAATTAAATCAATAAACCTTTTCTTATAAGTACAACTTATATAAGGAAAGAGCGACAAATGCTCCACTGACATGCTGCAGGTTTTTAAATACAACTATACCCAACTTCATGAGAGTATTATTTCAGATTGTGTTCTTTTGAGTTACTAATATTAATTTACATTCAAAATAAGCTGCTGTTGTGTGGCTTGTGAAAGTTTATCAATAATAATACAGATTTTTACCAAAAGTAGCTTCTGCGCATGTGCTATAGTCACTTGTTAGATGAAAAACCTATAATTCCTTTTAGTTTCAAAATTATAAAAGGAATGAATAAAATTATATAACTAATAGCTTGTAAACCTGTACTACTAAAGAGTTAAGCAATTTTTGTTGCAGGGAGAAAAAATTAAAATAAGTACCCAGTTTGCATTCTGATAACTTTAAACTGGATGAAAAATGTGGCTTTTGTTTAACATAATAACTATATAAAATAAAATGCTTCTTTTCTGTGGAACAGACTTCCTTAGATTCATATTTTGATCTGAGACTCCCAAAAAATATGGGAATAGTGGAAAAAATGAGAGAGCATTCATTCTAAATGTAGTAACTGATGCAACTGTAAAACTGATCATTTGAACCAGGATTTCAGTAGTTAGAGATGTAAAGGCCTATTAAATAGCCCCATCTTGCATTCGTGTAAATCAAAGTTTTAAAATGAAAACTGAGACTTTTAGTGGATGCAAGTCAATGCAGTATCTATATAATGTCTTGAAGTTATATTGGATTTAATTATAATGCCATTTTCAGTATATAAAATAATTGTGGTGGATTAGGAAGCAGGAAGTTTTGAAGTTCCAGTCCTGATCATATGAATGACTTCAGGTGGCTCTTCCTTCATTCAGTTCCTGTTAATTCTCTTGAAAAAAATAGGTAACAATATATTCTATACTTTTTTAGTGTTTTCTTTATCTGAGCTAATATTTTTCTCTCACGATGATATTAGTTTATACTTTTTTAGGGAAAACAATCCATATTATATCTATCCCATAGATAGATAGATAGATAGATAGATAGATAGATAGATAGCTTGGCAGAACTTATGTGTATATTATTGACAGACAGCTTATACCTATACTCACCCCTAAACTTACTTACAGTTATTATGGTTCATATCTTTTGCATATATTAGAAACAACATTCTGATAGCCAAGTCATTTTCATTTGTAAGTGCTGTACTAAACATTGTGATCAAAACAAATATAGAGAAACATTTAAATTGATAAAAATACATTTTCCAATCTTTAATTTCATTGATAGAAATTTCAGAGAAATAATAAAATGCTTCTCACCAGCAAGGTGTATAGTGAAAACATTTCCAAATTTTTGTTGCTGAGACAACAAGAAGGTTGAAGGATCTTTCATAAAACTCAAAGCCTTTCCAAGGAAAGGTATCCAACCATTTATTAATGGAGGTTCCCCAGCTTTCCTGCAAAAAAAAAGAAGAAATAATCGGGGGTTAATCTGGGCATGATAACAATTTATGTTATACATATATACCAGATTATATTTAAACCTACTATATATCATTCTCTCTTCTAAAGTACTGAGAAGAAAGTTCTTCATATATGTTGTCAGGTTAAATCTAATCACACCTCTGTGCAAAAAAAGGTTCAGTATAATGATTATAAAAAATGAGAGACAGAAATTGAGGTGCTTTTGTTAATAACCCAGTATCTTTTAGTCAGTATCCTAAAGTGATATAAGATCAAGTGAAATCTGCATTTTACAGAAAATCCTGATGCATATAGTAATGAAAATGTCTTAGCAAGATTCCTTTCTTTCTCAATATTTTGCATGTCAAAGTAAATTGTATCAGGAGGCAATTAGGATGGATTTAGATAATTAGGAGGAAGACAGTGTTAGAGATAATGTTTTAAATGTCTCGCTTTACCTGCGCCCCAAAATGTTATATTTCTAAATAACCATTGATTAAAAAATAATAATAGGAACAACATTCTTAACATAATATTTAGTGTGATTTTACCTGCAGTTATTTTTCTTCTAGTGAACCTGACATTCACATAGTTTAAAACTGCTTTTCTATATAAAAGTAACTATGCACTAACCAAAGAGAAAATGCACACTTTTCTTTACTTTGTTTTAGGATAGCATATAGATATTTTAAATCTTCCTTCCTTCCGTCTTTCCTTCCTTGCTTTCGCAATGGCCTATTCTCTTATTTCTAACTCCAGTTCACATTTCTTTCCTAAGTACTGATATTTAATTTCCTGATTGTGATTTAATACATGATAACATGAAACAAGTCTGTTCTAGGAAGGATTAAAACAAATATTCAGGAGCAACTCTGATGCTACATCCCATCTGTGAAGGTGACTTATACTACATGCAGAACAACTCATTCTGATTAATCACAATATATTTACTAGCTTGGATCTAATCAAAGATCAAGGGATCACAAGCTTTACTACTATCATACACAGCATGGATTTATATGTAGCTGGATTAACCCTATGATAGTCCCTCATTTTCCCATTAACCAGTATAATGGAAAATCCAAAAGAAAAAGATTAAGGCAACAGTTAATGTTATTCAACTCTTTGTCTTTAATTAAAGCTGCTTCTTTTGATAAATGCATACAAATGAAATAAATCAATTATTCTCATCCCTTAAAAAGTGGCTTGAAGTTATTATTAAAGATGAATGCACACAAATAAGTTACATGATTTGATTTTTTCCTATATTTAATACTAATTGAACATGTTTACCTCCACGTAAAATATTATTTTATTGTTATTTTTCTCTAAAAAATGCTGTACTACAAACTGGAAAATACATTTCATTACCTGAATATAAGCACTGGATAATATGATTATTTGGAGGTGGTTTTTCCTTAAATGCTTTAATAAATGTATAATAGAACTTCTATCAGCCAATGACAGCTCTATTTGTTCCAGTGGCACAAAAATGGCTCTGGATACAGAATTGCATCATTACAAACTTTTCTATGTAGAATGAAACTAAAAAAAAGAACTAATCTGAGATTAGACCGAGGGATTCCCAAACCTAGAACTATGACAGCCTACACTATCCGCTCAATTATCCTCTCAAAGCTGGCACAGAATCATTTACCATTTTTTTGTGCGGGGGGGAAAAAAGGGGGGAAGGCTTTTAAATCCCAGCAGTGGCCTGCTTTTACTTCCTGAGATGGGCACTAAACTGCATAAGTAACATTGTGACAAATATTTAGATAGGCTTTTTGTCATATTCTAATTTAATGCATCTAATTTCACCGTCCATGCTCTGTCATTCGGTCAAAAGCTGTATTCTTCACAAGGCTTCCGCGGGGTAAAAAGGACGCAGCTCAGAAATCCAGGGGAAAATTAACTTAATGCTCCAAGTCTGTGGGATCACATCAGGGAGACATTTTGCTATCACAAAGACGTGAGGGTCATCGTTTGCTTCAGACATGTTTAGCTCAGCAGCAATAAGCTGAACACTGTTAAACACCATGTCAAGGCTATGAGTATTTCAAAGGAAAATATAACGCTACTTCAACTTACGACCCACAGTAGACTGATAACAGAAATGTGTCTTCATTTCTATCTTTACTTCTCCTTAGAAGATGGAGGTCACCTTAATGACTTATAGATGTCTGTGCTGTATGGCAAAGGGAATAGAGTGCAATATATATTTTATAGTCTCCCAAAATATAATGCTTCGCTGCACAAACTTTTAAGTAGTGTAATACACCCCCTTTGGGCTTCTCTAAACTGATCTGATCTGTCGCAAAGATTTGAGGTATATATCAGAGTGCATATGACTTAGAAACGATAGGCTGCATTAACATGACTTTTAATAACCAGGATAAAGACCTCCTCCAAAAAACACTACTTGTTTAATTAGTTTCCCCCAACTTTTAATACATAATTCACATTTTTCAGCCTTTATAAAATATTGCAAAAATCAAAGTTAGGCTGGTCAGTATCCAATAAAATTATATGAGGAAAATAGGTGGTTTAGACTGCAGTTTGTGTAAAATAAAACTTTTTATTCTTATTTTTCAGATTTTTTGCTGGTACTGATAGGATCTGCATTACCATGTACAAGGCAATTCGGATCTTAGTACCATAATCTAGTCAATACAGTTTGTATAGTATCCATCAGCCTTTGTAACCAAAATCCTCAACACAGATTTACAGACTGGTTCTGCTTTATACCTGAGTAACCTGACTTACTGGAAAAGCCTACTTAGGCAAGTCAAGTTATCCACAAATACAAGTAGGTCTTATTTTGTAAAACATAAAAAACACATTTAGCACAATCTATAATTATAAAGATTAGTTAAGAGGGGTGTGAAAACTATGCTAACAGTACCATCCGCAGCTTATAAAGGGACTGGACAATTTAAAAAGCATGAGACAAAACATTTAACAGACACAGATTATGAAAACTGAGATTTTTTAATCTGAAAAGCAACTAGTTCTTCAGTTTCAGGTAATTGTGGTTGTTACATGAAAGCAGCCATATTTTAGAATATGCTTAATGTCCTTCTTTTATATTAAGAGGTTCCCTCTCCTTCGCTCCCCCTGGCCCCCCAAAGAAATCATTGAACAAATTGTGATTATTTAACTGCTACTGCGATATATAATAAAAAATGTGATAGCAACACATATGTTGCAGTCACGCTGACCAGAAGGGATGCTATCAAACAGACAAGGAAAATGGACTTGAAACATTATGTTAAAAATCAAAAGTAAATTTTAAAAATGTATTTTAAAAAAAACTGAAAGTACTAAGTCACCCAAATATTAACTTTTAGAGTTAATAAAACACGAGTATTTGGAACATCCATGATGGGTCATTATGCATTATGTTCTGTGAATGTAAACTTTTTTATTATTGTTATTCAAAAGAAAAACAAAACACCTAATCTTATATTTTGCCAGTGGATAACTCCGCTTACAAGCTATTGCATTCTTATAAAACTGTGTAAGGCTATTCTTTTCATAATTATATCCATACAATCATACTGAAGTCTATGGGTTGCATGGGTATAAAGATGGGGAAAATTTGTCCCATTTAAGTAGCTATTTGTTTGCTAAAACAGCAGATGCCTTTTCAATTTATGCAAAAAACCCACAGTGTATTTAGTCATATAGCAGATGAACAGGTTAATTTTTCTCTTTGCACGTAATAAATCATAAGTGTTTTAACACCCATAGTAGCATTTCATGAGCGCAAACCTTCTGTTTAATAATGTCTGTTTACAACTAGAATCAGACATATAGTAATCTCTTGCCTGGGATAAACATTAATCCAGATCTGTCTAGAAAAATTATACAATTCATTACCATAAGTAATCTCTATTGTGCCCTGTGCTTAACCTTCATCTTTTTTCCTGTCCTATAATCTTGCAAATCCACTGGTGGTGTGTGATTGGCATCTGGTGTTAACACAACCTTCACTGCACAAAGAACAACTGAAAAAGCCCCACATGAAAATGTCACTCTGCAGGGTACCAGTGATTCAATAGAATACTCCTGAGCAACTTTCACTGAGGGGGAAGAAAAAAAAGCGTCCAATAAAGGCCTAATAATATTGCTTGTCATGGAGAGGGACTTTTCACTTCCTAAAATAGCATTGCCAGAAAATGTAAAGCTACTGATTTAAAGGTTGATTTGATTTTCTGGTGGATAAGTTATTCCTGGCTCTAGCACTTGTGATCAAAGTATTAATATAATAGCAAAATAAAAGCAAGCAATGATATGTTTTTAGAAAAGGCAATGTATTGGTACAGATGTAGAACAAAAGCTATTATGGACATGTCAAAACAGTTTGGAGTTATTCACAGGCTCTATCACAATATTTAAACAACAAGACATGACAGGCAGTGTGTTTCTAGGGGCTTATGAACACTTTGACTGTGATGAGAAGAATGAGGCCAAAGGCTTCAACCCCCAGAAAGGTAATCCCCAGAAATGTGGTGTCTGAAGTGTCTTATTGTATTAAAAAAGAGAGACTGCAAGAAATTATGGACAGTGGGAGGCTAGTAAGGGTCTCCTTTTCCACTCTTCTTTTCTTTTTTGATTAAGCAGTTGCAGACCCCTACAATATTTAGATCTAGAAACTATAATATTAGGTGACCTATCAAGTAAACTTAGAGAGGATACTTATTCCTTCCAACTATTTCACCAGACTTTTTTAATGTGTCTCTTAGCCACTATCCAGCAATGAATCTTCTCTATTATATACCAGCTGATGGGGTGTTTTTCAAAATACAGTGTATTCATCCCTAGGGATATGCAGTTAATTTCCAGATGGATGTGAGGGGAAGAAATGGGAAAGCAGGAAATGAATGGAGGAAAAGGAAGAAAGAAAATGAAGAACAACTCTACATCTCTTAGCTTGTTGGAATGAGTCTCGTGTTGCTGTAGTAACAAAGCATGAATTTCTTATTATCCATAA